CATTCATCTGCATCTGGTTATTTTTGTTACGCAACTATTTTTCTATTATATAATATTAAAATACATTCTGCTACATAATATTCATAAAACTCATCTCTATGACAGATCTATTTAAGCGATCTATTTTCAAGTGTGATACTGCAAAATGTTTCTATAAATGGTTATAGATTTCAATTCATAAAACTATATTTTCACTCATTCTAATGCATATATGAAAAATTCGATTTTTTCAGTAAATGACCACTAAAAAACTGCGTTCGAACAGTATATTAAATGGTATTGATTGAGAACAAAAGGTACATTTCTTATGAACGCGTTAAAACGGTGTTTTTCGGAGGTATTTTAAATTGAAAAAAATGCGTTTCAGATAAAAACCAATATGTTGAAATGTGTTACAAATAAAAATCGATGCATTTGAACCGATTACAATACAAAAACAATGCGTTTAAAATCAAAAAATCTTGGAAGTTCTTGTTAGAACGCTTTTTTTCTGTACAAACCTTTTCCCGTGGGCACAGTCAACATGAGTTACAGTGCAGAGATGAATTGCTACTTTAAGACGAAGAACAAAGACCTATACAAGAAACATTTTCATACGTTGCGGTAAGTAGAACAAAATTGATAATCGCAGAACAAACCAATGTTTTGATATTTGTATGACTAGATTACTGCGATGAAAACTAATCTGACATTGGATCCGATTAGCTTTTGTAAAGAGAATACGCATTTGAAATCTTCACACTGCAGACTAATTCTTTTTTAATTTATTCTAATGAATGTAACACTTGGAAATACTTACATGATGGTAGAAAAAGATAGAGAAGAGAGAAAAGAAAAAAGGAATGAAGATGTATCAGATAGAAGTATCATCAATGATGCAAAGCGCTTTACAATTTTCTACTCATGCAATTATGACTAGTATTAGCTCACTCTTGTAAAAATATCACGGGAATAAATAAAAGGAATAAGACAACTATCTCAAAGAATGAGTAAGAAAAAAAGGAAAAAAAAATATACTGATAACAAGAAATGTAAAGAAAAATGAATAATAAAATAGTAATGAAAAATACTTTGAATATATTAATTTATGCTCTATTTTATTTGCTTCTTTTCTATTTATTCGCCTTAATAAAAGACAACGACTACTTGAAAAGATACGATTCGTGTTGATCTATCAATTAACATACACGACGCTGTCGAAAAAGAAATGACCGAGCTGATTTTTTTTTGCTTTTATAAAATTCATTCCGAACAAAGATGTCAACTATAGAGAAGTAAGAATCCAAGATTACTATCCATTCCCAGGTGATCCCAGGTCGAAAAGTACCGGCCGGTTCCGGCAGGAAAACACCGGAAATCAACGGAACATGGAAGCAGTATTCCGGCCGGAAATTTTTCGGATTTTTTCCGGTGAATTCCAGCCAATTCCTGTTCTTTCCGGCAGGAACCGGCCGGAAATCCGCCGGAAAAAGTCCGAAAAATTTCCGGCCGGAATACTGCTTTCATGTTCCGTTGATTTCCGGTGTTTTCCTGCAGGAACCGGCGATTTTTCCGCGTCTTTCCTGCCGGTTCCTGCAGTATCCGGTGACCGGAACGATCGACCTGGGATTCAATCCGACCTGTAGATCCTACCGGAAACTATCGGATCCGATGTCGGATCACACCGGAATTCGTCGGGTTCCCAACTAAATCCGATCGGAACCTAACCGTATTTCACAGGATTCCTAACTAACGGATTCCGGACTGGATTACGTCGGAAAGGATCCGATCGGATCCTGTCGGAACTGTTTGTCAGATAATGCCGTAACCACCAGGATCCTTTCACAGAGAAACGCCTGATAACGTAAGGCTCCGACAGAATACAGTCGGATTTCATCAGAAGTTGGCTGAATCTGTTTCGATTGCACAAGGATTCAATCAACATTTCACACAGATTTCATCCTAGCATTCTCAAAATTTCCAAAGATTTACTAGAAATTTCTGACAAATTAATCCAATTTTCCTCAAGATTTCTAACGATTTCTCAAGGATTTCATCGAGATTTCTGAAGATTTCCCCAGGATTTCATCGAGATTTCTAAAAGCTTCTGCAGGATTTCATCCAGATTTCTGAAGATTTCCCAAGGATTTCATCAAGATTTATAAAGATTTCTCAAGGATTTCGTCGAGATTTCTGAAGATTTCATCAAGATTTATAAAGATTTTCCAAAAATTGAATCGACATTTTCAACAGATTCCACCATGATGTCATCAAAAGTTCTAAAGATTGCATCAGAATGTCATCAAGAGTCTAAAGGACTTCAACTGTTTCAACTGGGATTATTCCTGGAATCCAACAATGTATATACTACGATCCTTCTTAAAATTGCACAATGCTTGTACTAAGATCCTTCCTAATATATAGAACTTAGTTATACAAAATGGCAAAATTCACTTGATATATGAAAGTAGAGAGTTCCTTATATAGATCGATACTGTAAAACAAAACGGTGAATGAAATCTGGACGAAATCGGATTTCCAGATTTTTGATTTTGTTGTTGGAAATTTGTAAAAAGAGGAATATCTTATTAGATGATTAGCTGATTGATCCGTCAGAATATATTCTTTTTCATGAATCTGGTTATGTGGAAAATATTACTGTACAAGGGAAACGCATCATTGAACATAGGATGAGCCTCGGGAACGTATTAGAAATGTAGTTGAAATATTAATGAAAACGCTTTTATAAGAGATATGTATTTGTAAAACTGAACGGCAAAAGTTTATTGGACGATTATTCAAGGTATAGATTTCGTCGCTATTCTATATTTTTTCAAGGAATATGAGAAAAACATGAATGACAATGGAAAAGAAGAGAGCGATCATATTATTTCTTCTACAGAGCCCTAGCCATTTTGCTGAATCGTGTACATAGTTTACGGAGTATTTCCTATATGCGCCAGTAACTGATTACTGTCGGATCTATGCTATCCGACATGAAAAAATCCGATCCATGGAACTTCCGTTTTCTTATATGATCCGACAAGTTCTGATACCAGTGATTGATCGGTTTTATCATGGAATCCGGTGTCATTTGGAACCGCAAAATCCGGCCATTTCTTGGCATCAGATTCTCCGGAATCCCATCGGAAGCGAACAGATCTTGAGATCGGATCTGACCAGTTCCGAATATATGAATCTAGTCCGAGTTCGATGAATCCGATCGGCGGATATCAAAGGAAAACAGTGGATAGCATCGGAATCCGACAAAAATTAACCGACCGAATCCGATTAGCCGTATCTCAACGGATTTGAAACCTATCCGACAGGATCCGACATAGCTATTTCGACCTGGGAACAAAATCTTTTATGACTGAGAGTTTATTATTAATTTTTTTTTGAATCGATTTATATCTTGATCGGGATAGTTTGTTAAATCGATAAAATAGAATTAATCCATCATTGCAGTTTATTTCTTTTTCTCATTGTTATTTTGAATGTTAAATATGATAGAATTAGAAGTGGATCTTCATCTTAAGATTCATCTATATTGATAGTGATACATTTTTCACTTTTTATTCGAAACATACAAAACATTGACATGCACTTTCTCAGCAATTGGTTTATTTTTTCCAATGAAATCTTAGACTATTTTGCATTTCTCTGCTATCGGATGCCGAAAACTCTCATTTCAAAACGAAAACAAATAAAAAAAAAACGATATTGATTCAAGTAGAGATAATTATGCCTATAGGAA